CTCTCTCTCCTCATGGCGAGGTGGGTGGAGCATCCTGAACTGCAGGAGAGAGGACTCCAGAAATGGGTTTGTATTGCAGCCTGGTGTGGGAGCTCACGTGATGGAAGAGGTTTAGATAGCAACACAGATGAGGCATTTTTTAACATCACTGTGATCTTGAGTGATCATTTAAACTTCTCACAGCTTCGCTCAGAGCATGGGGTCACAAAACAGAAACCAAGAACAGTTAACGTTATGCAGCAGCACAATGACAACCATCTGGAAAGGACTTACAGGCGTCCATCTCAGAACACCTATATATATTAATCTTTATAAATAGAGGATTCTACACCAGGAACTGTAGAAAAACATCTGTCATGATTATGAGGGTTAGCCAGCAGCCTGGGGATTAACTACACCTAGCCAGGTGGAGTGACCAATAGGAATGTAGGAGGGACTTTCAAACTGGGACAAAGGAATTTGGGTTTTTTTTCCTTTCTCCTTTTGTCTCTCTGGGTGTGTTCTCTGCAGCTACAGAGAGCGACAAGCATGTCTCTCTCTCTCCAAGACACCATTCTTCATTTTCTGTAAGTAGGGTAAAGTTTAGGTAGTTTCATTAGGCTTTATTGTTTTAAGGGTTGGGTATGGGATCTGATATCTGGCACTGCTTAAGGGATGTTTGGCTTTTCTTTTTAACTAAGTTCTAGCCCATGGTGTAATTCCTCCACGAGTATATTTTGTTACCTTTCCATCTGATCCTTATGCTTGAAACAGGAATATTGTTGTAATAATAAAAGTTTTCTCTATTCTTTTTATTAACCTGGCATCGGTTACTTGTGTGTCCTGATTTTTATAATAGGGATGAGATTTCCTAAATAATCTTTCCCCTAATCTCATTACTAATATTTGGGTGGTGGCAGCGGAAGTTTTATTCCAAAAATCTACGTTTTTAAGATTTTGGGGGAAGTTTTATACAAAAGCCTGGTAGATAAGGCTTGGGGGTACTCTTGCTGGCCCCCACTTCTGCATTTATCATGCCAGAGTGGGGAAGGAGCCATAACAACATCATTCAAGGAAATTTTGTAATTTTCCTTTGCAAATTAGTATCAACTCAGCGCGCCATGGAATCCAGTTCACCACTTCACAGAACTTTCATAGCTACAAACCCCTGTGAGAATGGACTGGAGTTTACCAGACCTTCTTTAGAAGTCTCTGTTTTTCTGACATTCTGCTTCAAACCCCTTTTTCCGCCTTCCCCAAAACTAGAGATTGGGTGGGTGAAGTCAGTGAGATCCAATTTGCTTTGCCGCTCAAGATGGCGAGAAGGCGACCGCGTTAATGTCTCTAGATGCTTCAAGGTGAAAGCGAAATTGTGAGGCAGGTTCCGCGGCTGCTGCTGTCAGAGTCACTCAGCGGGAGGGGAGGCCGTCAGAGTTCATCCCTCGAGGACGACTCATCGAGAGGTGGCTGGGGGGCCAAGGCATCTTTGTTCTGGGCATTGCTGTGGATCTGGCCCTGTTGCCGGGACTTCCAGGAACGGGCTCTGTCCCAGTCAGTTGACACAGTCTCATTGTCCCAGATCGTGGATGTCTCTGTGTCACTGAGGTAACCCGGTTGCCCTGTGTAATGGGTGGGATAAACAAGCAAGGGCTCTGCTGAGAAGGCTTTCAAGTCTCTGGGTTCATAATATTCCTTGTATTTAACTCTAGAGAGCGTGGGGTTAAAAAAAAAATCCAGCAGCGATTAGTGTTATGCAGCAGCACAAGGACAACTATCTGGAAAGGATCGCACACATGCAGCTCAGAACACACCTGTATAAATACAAAGATTCTACACTGGGAATTGTGGAAAGACGTTTCTAAAAAAAAGCCAACCATCGCTCCAATGTACAGATCATTCATAAGGTGGAAAAAAAATTTCTTTACATTTTATGCCAGGAGGATTTTTTCCCCCTTTTTTCAAAAATGTTGTGTTGTACAGAAAGAGATCTAAATCTACATCAGCAAAACCTAAAGGTAGACCAGATCACCTGCCATTTGGGACACTTACATACATGGTTTACAATGCTGACATCTTACCCAATACTGAGTACACTGGAACTCATCCAAAACAGGGTAAGATCACTTGTCACAGTGAAACAGCTATAAAAGGCAAGTTGCATTTTTGTCCTGCAATACACAACTCTCATGCAGCCGTCCAACAAAGTACAGCAGACTTGGCACCGCTCACATGTTCCTGGTTTTCTTATTAAAGAGACTTTGCCAAGTAGTTGAGGCCCAAACCCATCAGTGAGGAAACTGGAACAGGTGTTTTTAAGTGTGTTGATTGAGAAGGAAACCCAAAAGGTTTGTATCCAGGAAACAGGAAGCGGAACTGCCAATTAACAGGAAGTAGCACTGACTGAATTTGATTCACTGTTCAGTGTGAATAAAATGATTTAAAAAAAAAAGAAGCAGCCTCAGTGTTAAAAAGCACGTTGGATTTTCAAAGATTATTAAAACTGAAACCGCTAAGGCACAGCATTGTAACTGCACTAAACCAAACTTTGCTGCCCCACCCTTCCCCTTCCCTGAGTCCCCACTCCCCACTTGCTTCATCCTCACTCCCTTTCACCAGGCTGCAGCAGGGGGTTGCAGTGGGCAGGCATACAGGGTCTGGGCCAGGACTGTGTGCTCGAGATGGGGCCAGAAATGAGGGGTTCAGGGTGCAGGGGAGGATTGAGGTGCAGCCAAGGTGAGGGCTGAGCGGGATGGGAGAAGAGAGATTTGGGGTGCAGGAGGGGATTTCAGGCTGGGGCTGAGGGGTTCAGTGCCAGGAGGGGTGTGGGCTCTCAGATGAGGGGTTTGAGGTGCAAGAGGGGGCTCTGGACCAGGGCAGGGGTTCGGAGCAAGTCTGCATGTAGGAAGGAAATTTAGTCTGTGGCAGGGAGTGGAGGGGGCAGGGTCCCAGCAGAGCCCAGTTTACCATGGCTCCCAGGAAGCAGCTGCCAAGTCCCTGAAGCCCCTTTGCACATAGTGGGTGGCCAGGGGAGGCTCTTCACGCTGCCTCTGTCCCCACAGGTAAGGTCTCTGCAGCGCCCATTGGTTGTGGTTCTCAGCCAATGGGAATTGTGGGGTGGTGCCAATGGGGCTGGGGGCAGCATTCCCTCACCATCCACCTAGAGAATGGGTTCCCAAACTGGGGTGTGTGAAGAAATTCCGGGGGGAGGGGCGAGAGGTGACCCAGCCACACACACCCTGTCAATCCCACCCCAGGGTTTCCTGCTATTTTGGGGGTTGGCATGAGGGTTTCTCAAAAATCAAAAAGGGGGCGTGATGCAGAAAAGTTTGGGAACCACTGACCTAGAGGCTGCAGGGACCTAGCGACCACTTCCAGGAGCCATGCAGAGCAAGGGCAGGTATGTAGCTGCCTTAGCACTGGTCCCACTGCACCACTGACCAGACTATCAATGGTCTGGTTGGCATGCTGCCCGGAGCCCCCAGGCTCCCTTTTTGGCCGGGCGTTTAACTCCAAAACCCAACTCCTGGCAACCTAGTTAAGGCTTCAGTTCAGGAGGTTTCAGCCACATTTGAGGAGATGACCAGCCTCTCTCTCCTCATGGCGAGGTGGGTGGAGCATCCTGAACTGCAGGAGAGAGGACTCCAGAAATGGGTTTGTATTGCAGCCTGGTGTGGGAGCTCACGTGATGGAAGAGGTTTAGATAGCAACACAGATGAGGCATTTTTTAACATCACTGTGATCTTGAGTGATCATTTAAACTTCTCACAGCTTCGCTCAGAGCATGGGGTCACAAAACAGAAACCAAGAACAGTTAACGTTATGCAGCAGCACAATGACAACCATCTGGAAAGGACTTACAGGCGTCCATCTCAGAACACCTATATATATTAATCTTTATAAATAGAGGATTCTACACCAGGAACTGTAGAAAAACATCTGTCATGATTATGAGGGTTAGCCAGCAGCCTGGGGATTAACCAGTTCACCACTTCACAGAGCTTTCAAAGTTTCAAACCCCTGCAAGAGTGGACTGGAGTTTACCAGACCTTCTTTAGAAGTCTCTGTTTTTCTGCCATTCTGGTTCAAACCCCTTTTTCCACCTTCCCCAAAACTAGAGATTGGGTGGGTGAAGTCAGTGAGATCCAATTTGCTTTGCCGCTCAAGATGGCGAGAAGGCGACCGCGTTAATGTCTCTAGACGCTTTAAGGTGAAAGCGAAATTGTGAGGCAGGTTCTGCGGCTGCTGCTGTCAGAGTCACTCAGTGGGGAGGGGAGGCAGTCAAAGTTCATCCCTCGAGGACGATGCATCGAGAGGTGGCTGGGGGACCAAGGCATCTTTGTTCTGGGCATTGCTGTGGATCTGGCCCTGTTGCCGGGACTTCCAGGAACGGGCTCTGTCCCAGTCAGTTGTCACAGTCTCATTGTCCCAGATCGTGATGTCTCTGTGTCACTGAGGTAACCCGGCTGCCCTGTGGAATGGGTTGGAGAAACAAGCAAGGGCTCTGCTGAGAAGGCTTTCAAGTCTCTGGGTTCATAATATCCCTTGTATTTAACTCTAGAGAGCATGGGGTTAAAAAAAAAAAATCCAGCAGCGATTAGTGTTATGCAGCAACACAAGGACAACTATCTGGAAAGGATCGCACACATCCAGCTCAGAACACACCTGTATAAATACAAAGATTCTACACTGGGAATTGTGGAAAGACGTTTCTGGTGTAGAAACCAAATTCCTATGGTATCAACCTCACGAGCAAGGCGACCAGGCTGCCGATGCGACGCCACCTGGAGAACCACGGGGGGTGGATGAATCCCTTTGGAGACAACAGGCTCCTCTCCCAAGGCAGGGCCAGCATGGAGCAGATCTCGTTAATGAAGATCTCACTGGTGACCGTGCAGAACCACTATGACGATGAGCAGTACGAGGAGGATCCAGCGCCGGGTGCCGTGAACCAGGAGCTGGTGCGCAGGTGCACGGAGTGGCTGCGCGGCGTAGAGGAAGCGAGGAGAGAGGGCCAGTGATAAATGCAGGAGTGGGGGCTAGCAAAAGTACCCGAAACCCTTATCTACCAGGCTTTGGTATAAAACTTCCCCCCAAAATCTTAAAGTGTACAGATATCAGATCCCATTTCCCAAACCATAAAACAATCAAACGGATTTATCTAAACTTTACCCTACTTACAGAAAGTGAAGAATGGTTTCAGTAACTGGAGAGGAACTGCCCCAGCGACAAAGGAGGAGAAAACCCCAAAAATCCTTTGTCCCACCTACGTTTTTATGGGGTGCCTGCCACCTGGTTTAGGTAAGGGACATAGTTCCCCAGGATGTTGGCTAACCCTCCTGATCATGACTGAGAAATGCAGTTATCTGAACAGCATATTTGCATAACAGTGTTTGGAAGCGTATCAGGCCCATCTGGAAATTCTCCTGGGACTGTAGACCCATGGTGGCAGAGATTCCTGGGAGTTGGCACTTGATATGCCAATGAAAAATTAATTCTTCATTTCTGATTTGCACTGGTTGGGTGGGATTTTTAGACGAGTTCAGGGTTGGCCTAACTCTGCTGCCACTGAAGTCAGTGGTAAATCTCCCCTCATCTCCCGTGGGAGCAGAGGTAGCCGAGAGATAACAGCGGTTACGTCCATGCCATCAGTTTTCTCACAATCTCCTCCGGGCATCGGTTCCAGCACAGCTCTGCCAGGGCTCGCAAACTGGTTGCTGATGTTTCAAGTGCCACAACTTCCAATCCCCTCTAAACCTGTTCAGGGAAACCCAGTGGTTACGATCACTAAGCCTGTATACAGGACAAGATGACAATTGCCAAAAGGGACCCTGCAGTACCTGTTGGAAATAGAGACCAATGAGGCTGCACCCCAAGTTCTTGTAGGGAGATGTCAGACTGGATAACTGGCCTCTTGGGAACACGATTAGAGGGAATTTGAGGTGAGCATTTAAAAACAAGGTGAACTTTCTTACAAAACAAGATCCATCCTCAAAGAGATTCCGCCCGTGTTTTGAGACCAACCCCACTTTCTGGGGCTCTCAGAGAAAGCCCTACAGAGCTCTCCCCATGAAGAGGGAGACAGTGTAGATATGTCCGGCTAGAAACTGGTTACAAAAATGTGACTTCTCCCTGCCACACACACCTTTGCAAGGAAAATCCTGGATTCTGCAACACAGGGCAGTAGTAAGGTGCCAAGTGGATTATGAAAAGGCCCTAAAACCCAGAGTTGTAAAGAGACCTTCCCGGGTACTATGCCAAGTAAAGTATTCCAAAGTTGGCACTATCTAAACCTGTGGTGTCCAATCAGTTTTGAAGCAATAGCCACTATAGTAGCTACTGATACAGCAGACTAGCCACACTCAACCAGCCAAATAGCCACATATAGCTGACAGCTAGCATATTAGACACCACGGATCTAAACAGTCACCATTGGACATCTATAGAGTTACTTCCAATCAGAGATCTCCAGTTGCTTCAAAATTAGGAATTCATGAATGCCAAAAGACCTCTCTGCGGGAGGATATTATTACAGAAACTCAGGCACAGGAAGGTCAGAAGATTGGCTCTATATCTGCAGCAGCACTGACAATATCCAAAAATCATAATAATATCCAATAATGTCCGGTCCTCTGCTCCACCTTCTAGCTTACGCTAGGATGATGCACTGTACAAACAGCAACAGAAGATCCAGGTTAAGATCAGTTAGCAAGGTACAGCTCATGCAAAGCCAGCTGACTTCCCAAGGGATTTTACTTACACAGGGTGCTTGTTGTACATGATCGGCAGGAATTCATCCACCGGCAGCATCTTGCTAAAAGGTTCAGCTGCAATTAGTTTCTGGGCCCCTTCAAAGGAGATTGCATAACCCAGGGTCCAGTAAGAGTAATCTGCTTCTACAAGGTTCATTACGTTAGGCACGGCCTTCTCAGGGCGCTGCACCTGAATCCTTTTCCGACCAATGTAGCTGAAGGAGAGAAGACCCCATCAGAGTGGTTGCTTCCATGGTCACCTCTATAGGACAATCCTGCTGTAACTGGGACAAGAGACTCAACCAAGGGTGAGCAAAGGGCTTGAAGTCATGGGGGACTTTCCACAGACTTCACTAGCCTATGGGTCATGTCCAAAGTGCACCCCACAACTCAAATGCTACTCCTGGAATTCTCCCGTGCCACAACTACAGGTCCCAAAATGCAATGCACTGGTCGAGGGCAGTGAAAGGTTTAGGGGGAAGACCACTTACATGAGCTCCCAATCTAGCTGAACTTGCTCGATATCATCCATCAGTTTCATGAGCTTCCTCTTAAACTGATGCTCAAAGCGCACGTCGTCTTCGATAACAAGCGTCTTCTCCAACTCTCTGTTCACTACCTGAAAGGCATGTTTTGCAATCAGACCAAAATGGCTCATGTGCTGCCGAGGGGCCAGTTCTGCTTCCTCTGAAGCTACACCGTGGAACCCACTGGGAACAGGCCTGAGCGCCCATGCTGTTTGATCAGCATAAAGGACCTACATCAATGGCTGTTCTTCAGAATGGGGGACATTCAATTCCACTTGGGGTAGAATCAGAAAAACCTCATAGATGAAATTCTGCAACAACATTTGACCTACAACAAAAAAGCTGCTCCAGTGTTTGAAAATCGCAGCCTTCACGGCGATCCTGGGGTATTTACACCAAACTAAGAGACTGTCTAAAAATAAAACATTACTTCCTGCCCGCAGCATCTCAATGCAATACGACTGCCAGAGCCCAGGCGTTTTTTACCTCTTTCCAGATATAGAAGTGGCTAAGAAAACAGCCAATTTCCCCCCTGGTTAGTGGCCTGGAAGAATAAGGATCCTTGTAACCAGGCATCATGTCAATTTTCAGAGCTTTCAGCTGACTTGTATTCAATGCCCTGAGGAAAGAGAGAGCTACTTTCAGTACCAAGAACCTTCACAAATGTTACTATTTATTCAGGCACAGACCCAATGACATTGATTAGCACTGAAAAGGCTTCCCCGATCTAGGGAAGGTCCCCAAATGGGCTGTGTATTTGTAGCTGGACCCAGTTTAATTTGATCTAAATCATGCCAAACATAAGAGATCATTTAAGACACTCACCCTTAACAGTTTCAAGAAACTGCAGAGTTTTAAAAGGGTCATAGTCATATTGTCAGGAACACTGTCGCTATACTCAAACTGGAAGGCTATAGAACCTCTAGCTCACTTTTCATCATGGTAGGATTTTGTTTGCTTTTTCATATCTCTAGAGCATTCAGTATTGCATTTTCTTAAAGTCAGTTTCACTTTCAAGTTCAGGGACAGGTGAGCAAAGCCCACAGGTAAGTGCTGAATGTGCGGGACTGGGAGATGGGTTGGAAATGGGGGGGACTACGGCCTATAATGGCAAGGAGAAAGGAGGGTCAGGGCACAACAGGGAGGCAAGATCAAATCAGTATCTTAGATGCCTATATACAAATGCGAGAAGTATGGGTAATAAGCAGGAAGAACTGGAATTGCTAACCAATAAATACAACTATGATATCATTGGTATTACAGAAACCTGGTGGGATGGGACACATGATTGGAATGTTGGTATGGAAGGGTACGGCTTGCTCAGGAAGGACAGACAGGGAAAAAAGGGAGGAGGGGTTGCCTTGTATATTAAAAATGTACACACTTGGACTGAAGTGGAGATGAACGTAGGAGATAGCTGTGTAGAGAGTCTCTGGGTTAAGCTAAAAGGGGTAAAAAACGAGGGTGATATCATGCTAGGAGTCTACTACAGGCCACCTAGCCAGGTGGAAGAGGTGGATGAGGCCTTTTTTAAACAATTAACAAAACTATCCAAAGCCCAAGATTTGGTGGTGATGGGGGACTTCAACTATCCAGACATATGTTGGGAAACTAACACAGCGAGGCACAGGCTATCCAATAAGTTTCTGGACTGCATTGGAGACAACTTTCTGTTTCAGAAGGTTGAAAAAGCTACCAGAGGAGAAGCTGTTCTGGATTTGGTTTTAACAAATAGGGAGGAACTAGTTGAGAACTTGAAAGTGGAAGACAGTATAGGGGACAGTGATCATGAAATAATAGAGTTCATGATCTTAAGGAAAGGTAGAAGGGAGACCAGCACAATTGAGGTTATGGATTTCAGGAAGGCAGATTTTGATAAGCTCAGAGAACTTGTAGGTAAGGTCCCATGGGAAGCAAGACTGAAGGGAAAAACAACTGAGGAGAGTTGGAAGTATTTCAAAGGGACGTTGTTAAGGGCCCAAAAGCAAACAATTCCGCTGTGTAGGAAAGATAGAAAATATGGCAAAAGACCAGCTTGGCTTAACAAGGAGATCTTGCATGATCTCAAAATAAAAAAGGAGTCATATAAAAAATGGAAACTAGGACAACTAACAAAGGATGAATATAGGCAAGCAACACGGGAATGCAGGGGCAAGATTAGAAAGGCAAAGGCACAAAATGAGATCAAACTAGCTACAGGCATAAAGGGAAACAAGAAGACCTTTTATAAATACATTAAAAGCAAGAGGAAGACCAAGGACAGGGTAGGCCCACTGCTTAGTGAGGAGGGAGAAGCAGTAACAGGGAACTTGGAAATGGCGGAGATGCTCAATGACTTCTTTGTTTCGGTCTTCACCGAGAAGTCTGGAGGTGTGCCTAACGTAGTGAATACAAGCAGAGAGAGGGTAAGTTTAGAAGATAGGATACACAAAGAACAAGTTAAAAATCACTTAGGAAAGTTAGATGTCAGCAAGTCACCAGGTCCTGATGAAATGCATCCCAGGATACTCAAGGAGCTGATAGAGGAGGTATCTGAGCCTTTAGCTATGATCTTTGAAAAATCATGGCAGACAGGGGAGATTCCAGAAGACTGGAAAAGGGCAAATATTGTGCCCATCTATAAAAAGGGGAATAAGAACAACCCAGGAAATTATAGACCGGTCAGTTTAACGTCTGTCCCAGGGAAGATAATGGAGCAGGTAATTAAGGAAATCATATGCAAACACTTGGAAGGTAATAAAGTGATAGGGAATAGCCAGCATGGGTTTGTGAAGAACAAGTCATGCCAAACTAATCTGATAGCTTTCTTTGATAAGATAACGAGCCTTGTGGATAAGGGAGAAGCGGTGGATGTCATATACCTAGACTTTAGTAAGGCATTTGATACGGTCTCGCATGATATTCTTATTGATAAACTAGGCAAATATAACTTAGATAGGGCCACGATAAGGTGGGTGCATAATTGGCTGGATAACCGTAGTCAGAGAGTTGTTGTTAACGGTTCTAAATCCTGCTGGAAAGGGATAACAAGTGGAGTTCCTCAAGGGTCTGTTTTGGGACCCGTACTGTTCAATATCTTCATCAATGATGTAGATATTGGGATAGAGAGTACTCTTATTAAGTTTGCAGATGATACCAAACTGGGTGGGGTTGCAACTTCTTTGGAGGATAGGGACATAATTCAAAATGACCTTAGCAAGTTAGAGAAATGGTCGGAGGTAAACAGGATGAGGTTTAATAAGGAGAAATGCAGAGTGCTCCACTTAGGAAGGAACAATCAGTTCCATACATACAAGATGGGAAGCGACTGTCTAGGAAGGAGCATGGCGGAAAGGGATCTAGGGGTCATAGTGGACCACAAGTTGAATATGAGTCAACAGTGTGATGCTGTTGCCAAAAAAGCAAATATGATTCTAGGTTGTATTAACAGGTGTGTTGTAAGCAAAACTCGTGAAGTCATTCTGCCGCTCTATTCTGCACTAGTTAGGCCTCAGCTGGAGTACTGTGTCCAGTTCTGGGCGCCACATTTCAAGAAAGATGTGGAGAAATTGGAAAGGGTACAGAGAAGAGTGACAAGAATGATTAAAGGTCTAGAGAAGCCTATGAAGCCAGGCTTCATGAACTGGGCTTGTTTAGTTTGGAAAAAAGAAGATTAAGGGGGGACATGATAGTGGTTTTCAAATATCTAAAAGGGTGTCACAAGGAGGAAGGTGAAAATTTGTTCCTCTTGGTTTCTGAGGACAGGACATGGAGTAATGGGCTTAAAGTGCAGCAGGGGAGGTTTAGATTGGACATTAGGAAAAAATTCCTAACTGTCAGGGTGGTCAAATATTGGAATAAATTGCCAAGGGAGGTGGTGGAATCTCCCTCTCTGGAGATATTTAAGAACAGGTTAGATAGACATCTGTCAGGGATGGTGTAGATGGAGCTTGGTCCTGCCTTGAGGGCGGGGGGCTGGACTTGATGACCTCTCGAGGTCCCTTCCAGTCCTATGATTCTATGATTCTAATTGTCCTAGCATTAGAAAGGTCACTAAGGTAGAAAGACATCAGAAGACCCAAACTTTCTAACTGTGTCACTGATTTCCTGAACATCCTAGGAAAAGTCACTCAGCCTGGGACTTTCACATGGGCAGTTGGCTCCCTTAGTGAACCACAGCCTTAACCTCAATTTTCCCATGCATAAAATGGAGATTGCTTTGAGAATCACAACAACAAAATCTGTCTCTTGTGTTTATATTACTATAAGGTAGCACAATGCTGCAGCACTGGGGTCGTATATATTGCAAGGGAATATTTAAATGCCCCCAAAAGTCTTCATTATGATTCCCTATTTAATATTATGACATTTCTTCTCTCCAAACTTTATCTTGAATAGAACTTTAATTCTGGGCCCAAACTGACTTATTGGTTCTTTCACGGAGATTGGGCAGAATAAGAAAAGAATAAAACAACAGCATGATCACATTTTTTTTCAAAACTGCATCAAATAGCACATTAAAAATGATAACAATCATATGGCATCAAGGAGAATTGACTGAAGTCCATCAAGGTAGCACAAAGTTCTGCTACGAAGAACCAGATCTTTCCAAAGACTCACTTGCCATCCACAGCCTCTACTATCTTGACTGCAATCTCCTGCTCGTACAGTGTCTGCAGCATTCGATCCCGTCTGTCTTTTCGACGCTTCAAGTTGATCATGAAAATCTAGGTTGAGAGAGAAGAACATCAGAAAACTCTTCCTCAGTCAAAGTCCAGATCCAAACTCGTGTCAGAGCTCAGCAGGTTTTAGACCCTGTTAAAGCTCCAGGAGCATTTTCATTTCAGAGCACTGTTTTTGGATTACTATAAATGTATCATGGTGATAGAAATGTAGCCGTGTTAGTCAAAAAACAGGACTATGTAGCACTTTAAAGACTAACAAGATGGTTTATTAGATGATGAGCTTTCATGGGCCAGACCCACTTCCTCAGATCAAATAGTGGAAGAAAATTGTCACAACAATATATACCAAAGGATACAATTAAAAAAAATGAACACACGTGAAAAGGACAAATCAAATTTCAGAACAGAAGGGGGATGGGGGGGAGGTAAATGTCTATGAGCTCATGATATTAGAGGTGATAATTGGGGAAGCTATCTTTGTAATGGGTAAGATAATTAGAGTCTTTATTCAAACTTAAGTGTAAAGTGTCGAATTTTAGCAGTCATTTATCGTATCAGCTGAAATTTTGCATATTTTTCTCAGTCCAGCTGCTGATTTTTATGGGAAGGTAGAGGAAAAAGACAATTCAGTGAAGTTTATGCATGTGTGAAAGAGGGAAAGCATTTTTGCCTTGTTAATAAAAAAATCAAATCTGACCTTCTTGGATCAATTCCAGCACCTCCCCAATTTGGTGAAGAAACCTGAAATCTGGCAGGGACATTAAGTCAATGACTTAAGGGGTTTTGAAAGTTTATCCATAAGATCCTAAGGGTCAAAATCATTTTTTGAAAATAAGAATTAGGCTCCTAAATCAGTTAGGGGCTTTTGAAATCCCCATAATCCCTACCCTATGATGTGTCTGTCTACATTCTGTTACCCACTTTGATGTGAGCGAATTAAGAGTTTTATAAAACATACCAGGCACACGGAGCACACTGATTTGTTACGTGGTTAAGATTTGGTATATTCCATTAAAGTTCCACTTGCCCTGCAAATGCACAAGCACAGACTATCCATTCAATCTGGGCTTGAATCAAATCCCCTCAGAGTCGAGAGAAAGAACTGTGTTAATTTCCGTGGGCTCTGAATCCCTCAACCTCTGGCTGGCCCTTTGCACAGGTGAGTTAGAAAGGTCTTTTATAACATGTCAGTGCATGGAGTATGCTCTGTAATGTGTGTTTGGAATGAGAACCCTACCCTGTTCTCTACACTGGGCCAAGAACTGGCCCTGACACACCCTCTTGTGCCCTGACTAGAGCCTTTCAAACCCACCTGACCCGGACAGGACCTGAGTACCAGCAGCGGGTTGAGTCTGAAAACAACCCCTCCCTCTCCGGTTCTGCTCAGGTAATCTCTGATCCCCTCCTCCTGCCGGTGGGATCAGCCCACTGCTGCCACGTCACCACTCTGCAAGTGATGCCGAGTTCACCTGCCACCCAGCCACAGTGCTAGGGGAGGGGAGGACTTGATTCCAGTCCTCAGGCCAGGAGCACAGGGAGGCGGCAACACTCCGCCCCCAGAATGCCTACAGTAGGCGCTCTAGGGGCGGAGTATGGGCATGGCCAAGCTGGCGGTTTGGGAAGGCTGTGCCTAAGCCGCCGGATGCCCATGAGTAGGGGCCTGACAAGAAACCTGTATCCAAATCGGAGAACGCAGGTTAAACCTCCCTAGTCCAGCACCCTTGGGACCTGAGCGGTCCCGGACCAAAGAATTTGCTGGACCAACGGAGACCAATGCACCCAGATCAATACATTTTCTCGTGGCTGCCCGCTGCCACCTGGGGCTCTGCTCTCCCTTCCCCCGCCTTGCAGCTCTGCTGTCACCTAAGGGCTCTGCTTTTTCCCCACAGCTTTGCTGCCTCCTGGGAGGGCTCCGTGCTCTGCCCGGTGGCCCTGCTGTTGCCAGGGGCTCTCCCCAGCAGCCCCGCTGCAGCCCAGGACTCCTGTGCTCCGTCTTCCTGAGTCCAGCAATGCACCCGGTCCCTGGACAATGCCGGACCAGGCAGTGTTGCCGGACTAGGGAAATCTGGATTAGGGAGTGTCAGCCTTGTAATATAAATACACAGGTGGCAGAGATAAGGTTGTGAGAGCAACATTAACTTTGGCATTTTACTGACTTCTAAATGCTTCACTTTGCAGCCACAGCACTCTTAATGCACAGCTGTATGTGGAATTAGAAAGCAGGGGCCAGTTGTGCACTTTGGATCTGGAGTTGAACTTCCGCAAAACACTAGGATGTTTGGATCCAGGCTCTTCTTTGGGCCAATATCTGCCCAAAGATGAAGTTGACATGGTAGAAAGCACAGATCTTTACTAATTGCTGTGTCTATCTTTGGATTACCAATGTGCCTATCACCCTAATATCCGGACACAAGTGAAGCAGGGTCTGCAATGCTGGGTATTTTTAATTACTGCAGATCCTGGACATTTTCTGCTGGTTTGGTCAGAATCAGAGGTGTGCTCCCAAGATGCATCCCGGGCTGGTAAACAGAGATTTCTGGCAGCAGCAGTTAGTTCAGGCTAAGCAGACATATTTTGCCTGGGCCCGGGTAGACTGCAGCCCTTCCAAGCACCCACATTCCTAGGTAAAACACAGACTGCCAGGGATGTGCTTCTCTCTTCAGGCAGCCAAGAACAAGTTCAGCCCTGAGGCCAAATAAAAACCAGACTAAGTCCCAGCCTGGTGGAACGGCAGTAATACTAATAAAATATCAGGCCATTTAAGTGCAGCCACAAGCAACAGCCCAAAAACACACACAGGAATCCAAACATAGAAGACCAAACAAATACAATCACACAGAATCCAGACTTAAATAGCCTCGTCCATAGAAATGTCAGACCGATCCAAGAAAACAAAACACAAGGCTCCCCCAATTTCAGTGATTCCCTCAGTGATTACAACGTCTCTGGCAGCTGCGCAAACAGGCACTGCATGACTCCTCGCAAGGTTTTCTGCCTCAACACAAAATGTCTTAAACCCTGGTACTCCGAGTGGAGCATAGGTCATCTACAAGTATCCTCCATTTCACTCTGTCTTGAGACAAAACTGCTAACGGACTCCAGAAGTGCCCCAGTTGTTGCTCTTCAATCTTAGTTTCTATTTCAAACCCAAAATGTAAATCCAGGTTACCCACAGCACAGTTTCTCTCCTCTTCTCTCACTCTCCAGTTTTCCCCCCTCCCTCCCTGTCTCTTTCTGTTAGTACTTTGCCTCTGACTGCACCTGGCCAGCTCTAGCACCGCAGGACAGGAGTTGCTGGAGGGATGATTTCTGCACCAGACTTCCTGGGCTCTGCTTCAAACATGTTCCCAACTGTTTTGGGTAAACTAAAACCAGAGGCCACAGTGGACAAGTGGCTCTCAAACAGGAAAATGGAGTTAGGACTCCGGACCAGCAATACAGACTATTCAATGAACACGCACAGACCCCGTCGCACAGACTTTGAGCCACAGAGCTACGAATGTACAGCTTGAACGCCTGACTCTCTTCAGTCACCCTCACTAACAGCTTTGCAAGGGCAACAAAACAGCGTCCTTATTTCTTCATGGAAAGCAGGAGAAATTGACCCCCCCACACACACATAATGAAGTTCTTCAAGAATAAGGAAGCTCTCTCCAAGCACCCTGAAGCCCTACCCATAGAACCCAAACCCTAGCTCCAAGTTCCCTTCCCTCGGTAGCCCTCTCCTTAGCTCCAAGAACACTACCAACAGGAATCCTAACCTTAGGCAAGAACCCTGCTCTAAATACCATACACTTAGGAACCTGAACCCCAGATGCCAATACCCTACCTATAGGTACCCTAACACTACCCCAAGCACCCTACCCCCACAAAGTCTAAGCCTAACTACAAGTATCCTCCCCCCAGGAAACCTAATCTTAGCGCAAAAGGAGCTGCCAACCCCTGGAAACCCTAAGCCTATGGCAGAGAGCCCTACCCCCAGCAATCCCAACCTCACGCCACATGCCCTGTCAATAACCCAAACCCTAGCTCCAAGTGCCCTACCCACAAGAACCCTAACCCTACATCAAAGTATCCACACACAAGAACCCTAAACCTAGGGCAAGGAGCACCGCTCACAGAAACCCTAACACTTCTTCCAAGCATCCTACCCTAACGCAAAGGCAGGGAACCTACCCATAGAAATCCTATCCCTAGCTTGAAATGCCCTACTGATAGCAACCAGGACCATAGCTCCAACAGCCTTGCCCATAGGAACACTAACCCCAGGGTTGAGAGCCCTACCCAAAGAAACTCTAACCTGCGCATGGGAGGCCTACCCATAGAAATCCTAAACCTGCCTCCTAGGAACCCCACCCCTCGGTTGGAGAGACCCACCCCATGCTAACCCTCGCTCCCCTTCCTGCCACCACCCTGCCCCTCATTGTGCCCCATCCCCTGACCTGGGGGGAAGAAGCAGGCCCGGGGAGGCCTGTTGCGGAGTGGAAGCAGCAATCAGGCCCCTACTCTCTCGCACTCACCACAGTGGCCGGGAGCAGCAGGGAAACGGAGCACTCCCTCCGCTCCCCCCTTCCCCAGTACTCACAGTTCCCCGTTGGTGGATTTCGCCATTGGATTGGCGAGGGTCTCCTGTACGTTCAGGCACCGTGCCCTGGTACCACATATTCACCACTGCTGTAGAACTCTAATGCGTCTTGTACGACGTATGGCATGTGAGCATCATTCCAAACATGTCAATCTGCTGAGCATTAAAATCTCATTGGATTGCATGTGCTATCGTATGTAGAAGTGTGTTAAATTTCAATTAATCAGCTAATTGATTAGTCCATAAGGGGAAGGGGGTGCTCGCTATCCCTGCTGCGCCTCTGCCTTTTAAATGTATTAATAGCTCCGCAGGGCTCTTACTAGATTTCAAAAGGAGAGGCGCAGCAGTCAAGACCCGGTGCGATCATGGGCTTTCAGTCCCCGTTTGCGCCATTTCCCCTGCCACGCCTCTGCCCCCCATGGAGACGGTGCTAGAGGGAACCGGCTTTTAAGCCGGCTCCCCCCAGCTCCAGCTTCTGATCTCCTCCCTTGCTGCCTCTAATACAGAAGCAGCAAGGGAGGGGGGAGCGACTAGTCGAGTAGTGACTTAACTACCCGAGATAAGCCTAGGCTTATTGAGTAGTCGTCTAGTCGCTTACATCCCTGGTTATGACATTATACTATGTATGTGCTGCTGAAAGATGCTGTGAAGTTGGAATCACCCACCGCTAGCGTTTCCCCGCCAGCAATGAAGAAGCTATACAGCGCTAATGGCCATCAGCATAGACAACCGGCAAGGTTTGTCTTCACGTGGGGACATTCCAGCAAGTCAATGATTCATAAACACTGAGACTCAGCAAAGCAGGAAAGGGGATGTATCTATCCCAGAGGTCACTGAACTCCATTTTGGGAACAGTATTTTTCACAAACTGGTCTGGCTACTTAGCTTGAAGCAAACGGTTCCAGTCATATACAGTAAACTTCTGATAATCCGGCACCTTTAGGACCCAGGGGGTGCCAGATTATCAAGTATGCCGGACTATCAGAAGGGGGGGCTATGAGGGGTCCGAGGTGGGGTGGGGGGGATGCCACCTCAGACCCCTCATAGCCCCCCCTTCCAATAGCCCGGCTCTGCCCCACGCGCCCCTGACTCAGTTTCAACAGCAGCTGAATCCAGACGCCTGGGACAGAGCAGCTTGGGCATTGCCAGGTTGGTCCCACAGTGCCGAGGAGTGGCGCTGCTGGACCAATCCGGCAGCACCCCAGCTGCTCTGTCCCAGGGGTCCCCAAGTCAGCTGCTGCTGAAACTGATCAGGGGCTGATTCCAGGAAGCCAGGGAAGAGCAGCTCTGCCTCAGGCTTCCTGTAGTCAGCGGCTGGGCAACTTTAGCAGCGGGCGCAAAGGGGGGCG